TGGGTTGGGGGGATGGGTGAATGTTAGTTAAGGAAATACTTAACAATGAGCCAATTGTGGGTTGTCCAGTTTAAATAAATATATTTTGATAACTTGCAATAATATAAAAAAATAAGGAAACAATACAAAGGAAGTTAATTTTAAGGAGAAACCTAAATTGAATTAAATAATTTCAAAGTCATTCTAGGAAGCTGTTTCAGGCATAGGCTTGCAGGATAGGAAAATGCCAAATAACTTTTGGATAATAGAAGCAGTGATGCAGGTTAAATGTTACCATATGGAATACATCTAGGCACAATGATTATAATGCAGTATTGCAGGCAAACTCTGCCCAAAGTCAGGAGTTTGATTCTGATGGGGCTCAAGGGTGATTCAGTCTTCCATCTTTCCAAAGCCAATAAAATTAGGATCCGGATTGTTGGGGTAATACACTGACATTGTAAACTGCCCAGAGAGTGCTGCAAAGCAGGGCTTTTCAACCTGTGGTACATTGGCACCTGGCAGGTGGTACGCGACCATCCTAGAAAAGTGGTAGTGGAGAGGGGAATGAGCTGAACTGGTGTCAGCACCGCACAAGCCTGAGCGAGAGATGGCTGGAGCTGCAGGGCTATCAGGACTCAATGGAAGCGCCAGGATCAAGGCCAGGCTCCAGCTGGAGCTCAGCGCTGATCCTGACGCTTTTGCTGAGCCCAGAAGAAGCGCTGATCAGGGTCTTGTGATTTACATTCAGATGCTTGGCAACTGATTCATATTTATGACGGTCACAGTGTCCCAGGGTCATGTGAGGTGACCAAAACCTGCTGCAACCATCCAGCAGACGGGGGACTAAAAACCAAACACCCCTCACCCCACCCCCGCTGCCAATCCTCAACAGAAATACTCACAACAATAAAAACCTTGGACAGAAGGAAGAGCACTACCGGGTGGGCAGGCATCTTGCTCGGCTATGGTTTGGGGGGCACTTTTTTCAGTGCCATTGTAACTTCGAACAGTCACTAAGCGAACTGTTGTAAGTCGAGGACTACCTGTACTTTATCACTTTTTTCCTTTTTGTTTTTTTTTTTTTGTTTGTTTTTTTGGTCATCAGGTTTTTGACACCTTGCTAGGCGACTGGTGGTACTCAGATATTGCCATATCGTAAAAGTGGTACAATGGGTGAAAAGGTTGAAAAGCCCTGCTGTAAAGCACTATGGGGCAGTATAAGTGCTATTGCTATATGTCTAGAAATAACTAAGAAAAATGATGAGAAAAATAATAATCGATTCTAAGATGAAAGGAAATTATTCTGTCAAAAGAGCTTAACTGATGTAAGACTTTAAAATTGTTTTGAAAAGTCAGAAGGTATTTTCTCACAATATTCTGATAGAAAAAATAGAAATTTGTTATTGAGATAACTACTGTTAAAAAAAAATACAATCTAAAACAGACCACCCATAACCAAAATCAATAGTTGAACAAAATAAAACAAAAAAGCAGCTCAATTCTACCACAAATGCTCCAAATCATCTAAATGAATTTGTATAATGGCTTTTTGAAAAATAACAATATGGGATCAAATTTCAAACGAGGTTATATAACTCTATAATCTCGGGACTACCTCTAAGACAGCAATAAAATGGCAGAATATAAATTTAATACAAATATAAACTGGACTCATAAATTTGGCAGCCCGTGTAATGACCTTAGCACCAGTGTTATGGTGCTAAATTAGAAACCAAATGCCAAGGAGCTGTATTCTGAACCAGAGTCTGCTATTGGATGGAAACGAATCACTGTCCTAAGGGCTGTGTTATATGGTATAATTGTTTACTCCATTCAACCATATCTGGTTCTTAGAGACTGCCTGGACAAGTCCCTGCTATTTTGCTATAATATAATACATAAATGTATGCTGTTTCTGCACGATGAAGCTTATAAAATAGACAAAATAATACACCTATACAGAGCTATTTTATATATGACTGTGTGTGTGTGTGTGTGTGTGTGTGTGTGTGTGTGTGTGTGTGTGTATATGCAGGGCTTTTTTTCTCATAGAATGCCCAGAACAGAGTTCCGGCACCTTTTTTTGGATGGAACCTTGTAGGGTTGGCAAGGCGGGTTATATGACATGTGTGAGTTCCGGCACCTTTTTTATTTTAGAAAAAAAAAACACTGTATGCGTGTGTGTGTGTGTGTGTGTGTGTGTGTGTGTATGTAGGTAGGTAGGTAGGTCGGTCTTTGATTATTCGGGTTTTCTTCCACGTAAAATTGGAAGTGTCTTGGCGACGTTTCGACGAAGTCTCATTCGTCATCTTCAGGCTGGTACTTTCGGCTTCGTGCTTCTAGGAGCACGAAGCCGAAAGCACCAGCCTGAAGATGACGAATGAGACTTCGTCGAAACGTCACCAAGACACTTCCAATTTTACGTGGGAGAAAACCCGAATAACCAAAGACCTACATACAAACACCCGCGAAAACCTCAGAAAACATATATATATATATATATATATATGTATATGTGTGTGTGTGTATGTACATACATACATACATACAGTGTTTTTTAAATCGGTCAGTCCTAGAAGAGATCAACCCGACTGCTCTTTAGAAGGCCAGATCCTGAAGTTGAAACTCAAATACTTTGGCCACCTAATGAGAAGGAAGGACTCACTGGAGAAGGGCCTAATGCTGGGAAAGATTGAGGGCAATAGAAGAATGGGACGACAGAGAATGAGATGGCTGGATGGAGTCACTGAAGTAGTAGGTGTGAACTTAAATGGACTCCAGAAGATGGTAGAGGACAGGAAGACCTGGAGGAACGTTGTCCATGGGGTCACGATGGGTCGGACATGACTTCGCAATTAACAACAACAACAACAACTATATATATATATATATATATATATATATATATATATATATATATATATATATATATACATATATATATATATATATATATATACACACACACACACACACACACACACACACCATTTTTTGGATTCAGCTAAAATTCAGTTGAAGATTGTGTGTAACATTTAAATGCTGCTATCAGATGTACCAACAACTACATATATCTACTGTAACCTGTTCTGTTTGCTCCAGACTGCTGCTTGAAATTGCTCAGTATTCTGCAGAAGATGAATTATCATTTTGGTGAATTCATATATTTGATAGATATAATCAGTAATGGCTCATTTTTCACCTGGAACAAAAGCATTTCTCCTGAAAGGTCCTTTATATCTTTTTGACTTTTGAATTAGAAGACCTATATCATGAGCCATCAATATTTCATGATTATTAGTAAAAATATTATTTTTGTGTCCCCCAACTATAATTGGATTTCACCTTGGAAACAATCATATGTACTATTAGAAAAATAAGTCTTTGGTTTGATAATCTCCCTCAAAATGAATTTCATTTTAGAAATCATACTATTAAAATATCTCTCTGTTTCAAATCTAAAAGAATATTTCTATCACAATTACTATCTTTGAATTTATCTGATCAAAAACTGGTACCCATTTTTAATCAGAATAATGATAATATTCAATTCATTTGTACATACCATTTTCACTATCCTAAAAGAAAATGAATAATATGAAATTAAATTTTCATGACGACAAAAACAGTACCAGAACACATTCCCAGAAGCAATAAATCTTAAGGGAAATGTTTTCTGTTGATAGCAGAACCATATTTTTGGACATAATTTTAGCATAATGCAGGAGCTGCGGGAGTTGAAACAAAAACAGAACAAATGAACATAGAATTTCTTCCTAAATTAAGCTTATCTCCCAAATTTTCTCTTCAGTTGGACTACTGTAACAGAAATCTTAGTCATGTAGGCAATGTTGGGTTCAAACCCCTTGTTTTTTGTTGTTGGACCCCAGAAACAAATGAAAAATTTTGCAATTTGCTATAGAAGGTTGATTATAATATCATCCCTAGTAATTTTCAAGCACAGATGGTAGTGAAAAATGTGGTTTTTTTAAATTAAACATGAAAATTGATTTCAGAAAATGAAAATGAAACAGTAACATTCTACTTCCATGCCAATTAATTTATCCTCACCCCCTCCTTTTTCTCCTCCCTGTTGGTAACAAAGAAAGTGCATATGGAAGCAGAGTGCAGTTTTTTATTATGTTTGATAACAGATATAGTGAGGAATGAAAAAAAAATCCTTTCAAATCTACCATTCTTGATTTCCTAAAATTTGACTGGTGAAAAAAAAATGTATAACAACAGCTATTCTGTTCCACTGTACTTACTACCAGGTGCCTGGATGCTTGAAACATAGCAGAAATGTTAACTGTCCCATCTTCAAAACAATGCTTCTTAATTTTAAAAACTGAAGATAAAACCATCAGTAGTTATATAATTTCTTCCATGTATAGACTGAGTAGTTGTAAAAATTCTCCAAGGAAACCTAAATTTTAAATTTTGATAAACAAAAGCCTTCAAGACACTCCAAAGCAGTATAATGAAAATGGTGAAGCTTTTTCTGTAATAGTGACCTACAAAGTTTTCTGGCCTCCTGATCTGACAAATGAAGTTCAACTACTGAGATCCCTTATGCCTCTATAGGTGCTGTTTAGAAAATGCCATTCCAGTGTCCTATTATTGTGACTGGTGGTTATATATGACTTTTCCTTTACTTAAAGGAAGGAAAAAAATCCCCAAAATGGATTTAAACGAAATGAAAACTAGGACTGTTTTATCAACTGTTTAGATGGCAGTAATAAAATTCACAAAAAGCTTGATAGGTTTGAGAAATGGGCTAAAATAACTGAATGAAATTAAACTGTCACACAATTTTCAATCTTCTTTTAGTAGAATTTAGAAATGCACCACACAAATTAAAAGCATCATATTGATTACTGTTCACTGGATTCTTTGTCCCATTGGGTTTCTAGATCAGTATGCATAAACTACAATCATAACTTGTCAAATATATAATTTGACTAAATAAGTCAATATGTCCACAATATTTGGATTCTGAAAACATGCTGTATTCTTACCACATATCGAGGCAAGTGGAATATTCTGTTGAGCCCAAGAGAACATCTGGAGGTCGATACCAGAGGGTTACCACTTCATTAGAGTAAGTGTGACTAGGAACAGATTTAGCTCTTGCAAGACCTGAAGAATAATGCAAATACAACAATAGAAAGATAAGAAAAAATAACTGATGTACCTTTAATAAAATTGCTCATAACATTGCTTGAAAGACAAGTTTTGATAACTGTGTTATTTTAATAAAAGAAAACTAATATTCATTTTTATCATTCAGCCACTGTAAGACAAAATGAAAATTCATCATAATAGAGATTGCAACAATAAGATCTGTAACCATTACCATCTTTTTAAAGATCTGATGTCCATAATTAAATAGAAGACAGAAAATATAATTGATATAATTTAAAAACTAGTAAAAATAACTATTAAATATAAACATACAGATGCATTCTTAAGCATAGGAGCTAAAATAAAGAATATAAGCAAACCACTAAGATAAATATTACATCTTTATTTATTTTATACTGGAATCATTTCAAGCTTCAGGCATATGTTATACTGCAGCATGCTAAAGAATGGAAAAATAATATTTTCATACTATTTTAACATTTAATTCATATAATACATTATTCTTTGAAGTTCATAGATATCTAGAACTTTTATGACAAATAAAGATATGTGGAACATCAAAATTTAAAATATTTATTACCAAGATAAATTTCTTTTTCTTAAATCTCACTGCAGGTTGATACAAATAGGAACTCATGAATAAATGATAAAAAAAAATGCAGAGAGGTAAGAGTTATGGGAAGAATTGTGGGAAATAGAAGAACTGCCAGTAGTAGAATTATGCCATTCAACAAATCAAGCAGGTATTATGCTCTATTATGTAGAATACTGTACTGCCATATGGCAACTATGCTGTCTTTTTAAAAAAATTGTTTTCTAAAGTAACCATACAGAATAAGGTTAATATATTATTAAAGTGTGCTTGAATAGCCTTTTTTTTTTAAAAAAAATGAGCATAATAACTGAAAATATGTCTTGATAATTTGGCAAAAACAAAAATAAAACAAAGCTACTAACTATGCCTGAATATTATTATTACAACTAGCAATTTGAGAAAATTCCAAAAATTGCTCACAAAAACCAGAATAACCTTGAGGTTTATTCTGTTTTCAGAAGATCAACCAAAGAAATACAGAAATATCACATATTTTTACTGCCTCAGACACAAAATATACATCCAGAAGAAAAATACTCTGTCATATTCCGAGAGTTCAGAATCAGAGTCGTCCTAGTCTTCCCTTCCTTCTCTATTGGAGATTAAGAAAATATGTTCTTTTTAGAAGAAAAGGAACAGGGCTGGGAAAGAGAGGAATTTGCTGTGTACAGCCACTCAATCTTTCACTGTGTTGAGTTTACCCCATGTTCATGCTTTTTATGTTCCATGTTCCATGTTTTCAGCTTCAGATTTTCTTTTCCAGTATGGCAATATCATCAATTAAATGTTCCAAAAGCCTTAACTGAGCCACATCATTAGCACACTGAAAACTCGTCAGCTTTTCCTCAATGTCATGTTGAATGCTAACTGATCTGAGAAATTCATCATCTAGTATTATAAATCTCATGTTTTCTTTCAATGTAGTTGCCTCAGTATAAATATAGAAATGATTTATCATTGCCTTTTCTCACATAGTATAATGGATACCATTAAAGTAATCTGCTTCCAGGACCTTCTTATATCACTGCTATGCCTTATATAGGTTTTTGCTTAGTTTAGCTAGGCAGTTGGGGTGACCCTGATAGGTTGGGTGACCTTGTTGGAGATATATACTCTTGGCATGAACATCCAAAGTTCTTCACTCATTCTTTCTAGGAATTTCAAACCACCATGAAGAGATAGCATAGCAGGATTTGGGGAAGCCAAATATCATTCAATGTTATTCTAAATACTGAACTATAATATTTTCCCATCTAACAGGGAGATGTCATTTGTAGAAGCATTTTATGCACTGCCTAAGGCACTGAATCTTTTTTTCAAATCTTCCTTTTAAGTTGTCAACAATAGCATTGTTGTTTGAATACTTCTACAATTAGTTTTTACCAATTTATTTATATTTTATTATTTCAAATTTAAAATAAATATTTTAAATAAAGTTAATTCTATTTATCTCTTATGAGATTAGTCTATCTTTCAATGAGAGGATCAAAAGTTGAATTATCTAATTGCTTGCACCTATTCTACTTGGATGCGGTATTAAAATTGTTACTTCTTTCTTCCTTGCATTTGAAACTTTAACTTTAAAGGCAGTATAAGTTGCAACATCCCTAATCCTGTCATATACAGGGTTGAGAAAGGGCACTAGATGATTTGTTCTTATACAGCATCTGCTGTTGGTAGGGTCTACTGAGACTATACCCCAAAGCAGAAGATGAAGTTGGGACTGAAGACCCATCAGTGCTAATCTGCAATCTACTTATGAGCTCAGCTATTCCACTGCAGCTTTAAAAACATATTTAAAGATTATTCAATATCTTCACATCTTTTAAAGAATGTAACAATTCTTTAAATAATTTCAATATTAAAAGAATATATGTCTTTAAAATGTATATCTAATATGAAATTATTTCTAAAGCAATGTAAATCTTTAAATATTAATGTTTTATTTTTCTCTAGTCTTAGTCAAGAGCCAGTTTGGTGTAGGCTAGAAACCAGGAGACTGTGAGTTTTAGTACTGCCTTAGATATAAAACCAGCTTGGTTGCTTTGGACTAGTTACTCTTTTCTCAGGCCTAGGAAGCAGGCAATGGCAATCCAACTTCTAACATCTAGTCAAGAAATCTTCAAACACTTGTCCAAGCAGTTGCCAGGAGTCAACACTGACTTGAAGACAAAAAAACAAAAACAAAATAAAGCAAAAAGTCTTAGTAAAGATCTATAACTGGGTACCGGACTACTGATGGAGGTACAAATTCAAGGCACACTGCAATATTTGTCCTTTTGCTTTAAATGCAATATTTAAATATTTGCTACATTTAACATCATATTTAAAAACAAAAGAATTATAGGTGGTCAGGAAGAAGAACAAAGTGATTAAATATTCAAGAAAAACATAACTATGATGAACAGGCCTAAATTATTTAAGTAATTACTGTCTCATGACCACTACCTGAGCTATCAAACAATAGTTTAACATCTTAGAATCAATTGTATTATTGTCATTATATTACAGCATTACGAAAAACCTAAAAGACTGCATTTTCCTTAAAACTTTCAGGTTACAAATAAATGTTCATTATATCATTATTGGCTTTTTTAGCCTAAAAGTGGCAACGTATTTCATATTATTTGTGAATCCATCCATGGATCCTCATCCAAAATTTATCTAACTGCTTCTTCCAGCTGAGGGAAAACTGTAGGACAGGATTAATTAGCACAGCATGTGCAATCACTTTGTTTAAGAATGTCTTGTCTATTTCCATGGTTACACCACAGGAAGCTACGAACTCTTTTTTTATAGTCAGGGTTCCTGATATTGGTAGATATGAAAACTTTTTAAATTTTCAAGTGAGAGTGAAACCAAAAGCAAAAGGTAATTAGGAAAATAATATAGTAAGCAGACAATATTTGATAATGTTTGCCTGGACTTATATGGATAACATCATGACAATTCTGTGAAGTGCCTTTCAGACCTTACTCTTTTTTACAAATAAAAACGTCACTAAGGAGGCATCTTGCTACTACCCTTCATTTTTTTTTATGAGCTAATAGTCAGAATTCAGCATATCATCTAATTGTTGAGTTATTATATATGCAATAAAAAATCTCAAGAAAATAATGGGTGAAGGGCATGTGTTATTTATGTTATACTTTGTATCAGTATCACTACTTATATCACATATTCAAAGACATCAAAAGCCAATTAAATGACTGTGAATTAACAATATTTAAGATATTAAGAATGCAGTTAAATATGTTTCTCGTTATCAATACTAGTGAATAGTGTTAATGTTTGGGAGTTGAAGTCCACGAGTCATAAAAGAGCCAAGATAGACTACCCCTGGTCTAGTGGTTAAGATGTCAGGCTAGAAAGCCTGAGACCATGAATTCATGTCCCACCTTAGCAGTGAAAATCAGCTGGGTGACTTTGGGCCAGCCACCCTCTCTCTCAGCCCAACCCACCTCACAAGTTTTCTGTTGTTCAAAAATAGGGGGAAGAAGATGTATTGGATATGCTCACTGCCTTGAGTTATTTGCAAACGTAATAAAGGTGGGATACAAATAAGTAAATAAAATAAAGATAAATACACCATGCAAGGGGTAGTTCATTAAACAAAATGAATTTTAAATTAACCTTTCTAAGGTTATTTTTCAACAATAATAGAAAAAAAACATCCTGGTTCCCATTAATTTTTATATGATCGTTGAAAAATCACAGAATTCAGTTACTGGCAGAAAAGAACAGAAAACGTCTTCAAAAAGAGGAGAAAAAGAAGGCCTGGGTAACTATAGAATGGTCTGTTTGATGCTGATGAGAAAGACATTGACAAAATGAGAAGTATCAGAGAGCAGCAGCTAGCAGATATTGGGATGTTTAGCTTGGAGGAGAGAATACTGTAGGGAGACATGATAGTTCTCTTCTAGTATATGAAAGGCTGTAATATAGAAGACGCAGAATTGTTCAGAAGATATGACAAGAAACAATGGATTTAAATTACGAAGATATAATTTAACTGGCTAGAAATCAGGAAAATTGTCCTAATATTCTATTATTAATGAGATCAAACGACCATAATATGCCACAAATCAATGAAAATATCATGAAACAACTCATACAGCACCAAATTTGTCTAATTCTGTACTAAATAGCATCCTATTATAATTAGTATGAAACTCCAGAACAATAAGAAGATATGCTTATACATATTACTTAGTAATCTTCTGGAACAGAACAGGATTGGAAAAAATAGTTTGCAAAAAAATGTTATACATCCTTGTTTAGCAACTGTCTCAAAGAGTGATTGTTTTCAAATATGACTTTAATTAAACAGAAATTAAAGTCCATTTTCCAATTGGCATTTAGGACAACAAATTCCCCACTGTGAAAATAACTAAGTTCTGGCTTGTTTCAGGCAGCAACTGAAAGTGAGCTAAAGGATGCATGACTGAGCTTGTTAACTTTGGTGCTTTTTAAAGAAGCATTTTAGCTGTCTGAGAGAAAAACAGCTAAGGAAGAGATAGCTTGCTTAATCAATCTGCCCCACAAGGAGACAAAAATTGGGGGGAAATGAGTCAGACACAGAATACTATATGAGAAAATTCTATCTGAATAAAATGGCAGCAACAAATGATCTTTGCAGTCTTCTCTTTCTCAAATCACTTAGCAACAATTTTGCTTAATTATCTGCGTAAAATCAATAAAATTAAACATATATATTATATATATCATTATATTATATATAAACTAAAAATATATATGCACGCACACACATACTGGATATATATATTTGCATTTCTTTTGTATATAATATTACTGGTATTGTTATGAGTGGATCTTCTATGTAGTTGAAATATTTATGGTTTGAAAACTGTATTTAGACACCTTTTTTCCTATTTGAAAAAATATGAATGTTTTTATCCTATAAAATATGTCTTTCATTTAAAATCTTATGATAATTAAAACCTTGCAACTATGAATTCTATGTTTTCAAATGATCTCTTTAATATTCAAATGGAAGAAGGGGATGACCAGTAACAAGACAGATGGACTCAATATCAGTGGCAATGGGTGCACTGTTACAAGACCCGAAAGGTGAAGAACAACCTGAAGGAAGCCTATGGGGCCACTAATAATACCAACTAGATGGCGCATAATTAAATATGAAAGATGAAAGATATTTTGGTCTTTTCGTATTTTGTGGGAATAGGAAGCGGAAGTACTGTGTGCTGCCTTGAGTTGATCAAAATAAAGGCAGACTAAATCAAAGGCATACGAACTTGCTGCATTACCTGTTCCATTTTCGCTACTGGTATGGTGGCTAAAGTCAACTTGCACTGTAACTAAGAAGAGAAGTTCTCAAGCCATCTCTCAACATTGCTTACATCATCAAATAATCTTGTAATTAATGGCTTGCCTACCAAAATCTGCCAGTTTCAACTCCCCAGTGTCACTGATCAGAAGATTTTGGGGTTTCAGATCCCTGTGCAAAATGTAACGTTGGTGGATGTACGAAAGTCCTCGCAGCAATTGAAATAAAAATAACTGAAAAAGAGGGGGGAAAACATGTTCATTAATATTTATATGTAATGCATTGCCTTCCTACATAAAGATCAGAATGCATATATATGGTGAAACGTTATTAATATAAATATTATTTAAAACCAAGATTTTTAACTGAACCGACACAACAGGAATTAATACTCATACATATTTCACTATATCCAACTGCATAAACTTTCTTTAACAATTCACAATAGTTAATTCCATCAAAAAAATAAATTGTATCAAGTCAGTTATATTCTACTTATTTGCATGGTTTTACAGATTAGATGACAGCCTAAAAGACAGGTGTGTATGCTTGCTAATTATAGAGAATAACAGCAACAGCACATGGAAAGTAGAGATGCACAAGACCACATTCCTTACAAGAAACAAAAAGGAGTGAAAAGGGATTACACTCAAAGATATTTTAACTATAACAAGTCATTCAAATCTTTATTTTGAAAGCTCAAACTATGAACAAAGCTATTTTATTCTTTTTCTTTCATCTACAGTAGCTTTCAAAACTGAAAATGAGATTAGCTATTTTCTCAGTATGTCAACCAATGTGCATTTTATATATTATTAAAAATTCAGTCTTGTATGAACAACATTTGTCAAAACATTACATCAAAAATTTAATGTCTTGGATGCTGGCAAAATGTTATTATTCCATGCAGACTTCACAGAGATTTAAGGCAACAGTAAATCCTTTGAAAAATAATTGTTTTAACATTAATGATAAGAGAATAATTTGATAAGAGAGACAAACAATACAAATTCAATTTTGTACAGCAGTACCATTTTCATAAAATTTGTAAGATTTATAAGCTATTATAAGTTCTTGGATTCAGTATGCTGAAATGAAATAGTTCCTAATTATTGATCATCTTAGCATCTGTATGAACTTGTAAACTATGATTATGAAAGAAGTTAAACATGGAAGTACAGAAATCTTTCATTTCTTTTCTTGTATATACATGCTATTTTAAAAAAGCAATTTTTGCTGAGGATAATATTTGCTAATAAAATAAAGGAATAATATTAGAACTTTCAAAAGCTGCACTGCAATGAAGTAAAATAAAACAAAGAAGAAAAAGTAAAAAAATAAATTGCAACTGTATTATAAAATTCTATTTTGAAAAAATACAGAATTAGGATGGTTGAGATTAAAAGTTGGTATGAAAACTTTCATGTAAAAATCATGAAAGTTTATTTCTGACTCACCCACCCACCCATTAGTAACATTTTTTTCCAAGAAAAAAAAAAGAGAATTAATTTAAATTATTGTGGCCTCTCAGCTGAATTCTTGCTCTAGTAAAAATTTCAAAAAATGTCACTGGAATTAAAACAACACATTTTCTTCTAATCTATATCCCATTGCAACTCACAACTTTAGTCTATCCTCCCATTACTGTAAAAGTATATATACAGAAGACTATTTATACAACTCAAGTGTTCTTCTAATACTTTATCTGCTTTGCAGAGAAAAGCATTTTTATTAACCCCTCTGTATTAACATTATATAATCTATGGTTCTGGAAGGGGACTATAGGAACATTCTGATATAGGATCTCCTATATCAGTTCAAGGAGATCAGTGAATTAACTTATCATGTTTTCTTGCATTGTTCAATGTATTAATCAGATGCTAGGCTTTATTAAACACCCACTAGTTAACTGCTTGGATGAGGATAATTTCTGCTAGGTGACCTCGCTTCCAAAAAAATTCCTGGAAAGTTATTAAATTCTGTTCAGAAGCAGCTACTACAAGGAGTATGTGGATATAATGTTGTCATTATTAATGTGGTATTTATATTGCTATGTGATTACATCTTGTTATATAGACTAGTAATAATGGTATCTTTTACAAATATTCCTTTGTTTTTATCTTGCAATGATTTTGATCTTTGATGATAAATAAATAAATACTTAGATAAACAGGCAGTTCAATTCTATGGCAGCCTTAAATAAAGATCTCTGAGTACAACCAAATGTATAAGTTACCTTTAAGAGCCAAAGGTTCTGTTTCAAACTATTTGGTTTGAAGAGAACACATTACAGTATAGAATAAAAAATATCTGAATAGTGTCTCAGCCGAAGCTGTACTGATTGGGAAAGAGTGAAGAAATATATTTTAAAATGTATAATTTAAACACACAGAGGCATCATCTTATGATATTATTTAGTCCTTATTTTCATCCTGAATAAAGGATAGTCTTTATTTTAAAACTATCTACATTATTTTAAAATGTGCATTTAAGGATAGTATAAAAAAGAAACAATATTTTTGCTGCTCTGTCCTGACAACTGCACTTTAAGTGAGGTAATGCTTTTCAGTAATGAGTCCAGGAACATGTAGGAGGAATGTTGCTATATGAAGGTCAAACCAATTTAGGGGTTTATGGAGTGTGATATCAGTGTGTTAGCAATGATTAACGTTTAAGGGCAAACAAGTTAAAAACAACAATTTCTCTAATAAAGGCACATCAACTCTTGCCTCAAAGAGATACATTTTTCCAACTCTCATTATAGATTACAGATTGAAACATATCCTGATAAAAGAATTATCAACAGTTCTGAAATACCATTCATTGCACTTGAAACTGATGGCGCTACGAACAAAGGTATGAGGAAATAATATAGAAAGCTAAAATTTAGCAGTACAAATTTTTAAAAATCTTTTCTATTTAAAAATGGTGGGGAAAATGTTAGTCTGAAGAAAAACTTCGCCATTGTCTAGAGCAGACATGTCAAACACAAGGCTTGTGGGCCAGATCCGGCCCGCCATGTGATTCCAATTGGCCCGGGGACCTGCTCCAGGCCGACTGGGTACTGATCTACAATCTGGTGCCAGCCATCAAAGACAGAAGCACTTAGTCTTAGATCCATGGGGCAGCCCTGGAATCAACGACAGGCGCCCCTGCCCCATACCCTGGCAGCAAGCAGGTGTCCCAGCTGGCTGTCTTCCCCCATAGGGTGACTACACCCAGGATGCTGGTGCTGGTCGTCTCCTGAGTGCACGCCTAGGGAGCGGGGCAGAGGTGGCAGGGTAGCTCCTCGCTGGTTCCAGGGCTGCCCCATGGATCTAAGGCTTTGATGGAGGCAGCCAGGTTGTAGATCAATGCCACCCTCCTTCACAACAGCATCTCCATGACCCACTTGCTGACCTTGCCTCGCAGCCACGAGGTTTCCCTTTCACCGGGACTGCATGGGATAGCGATGGCTGGCAGCATGGACACCGGCAGCGCTGGCAATCTCTCCCCCTCCCATCACCCCTTCCTGAGCACGAAGGAAAGAGATAAGAATGAAAAGGAAGGGAGGGAGGGAGGGAGGGAGGGAGGGAGGGAGGGAGGAAGGAAGGAAGGAAGGAAGGAAGGAAGGAAGGAAGGAAGGAAGGAAGGAAGGAAGGAAGGAAGGAGATGCCCCAGTTCTGCTTTAATCCTGGATCCATTGAGACTTGGGCTCAAAGGAGAAAGCAATTTTGTGTTCTCTTTTGTCACAGACAGGACTTTATTAGCAATCCAAGTTAACATTGGTAGTCTTGAATTGTGAACTCTTAGGAAAGTATCCCCTCCTTGTGTGTTGCAAGCAGCCATTTCCAATGGAGCAAAAAGGGCAAAGCAGAGTGAGGAAAATATTTTCCTTAGAGCATGGCAGGGTCCCTATAGGAGAGCTCTTTTAAGGGTTATGCATTAATAGAAAAACAACTAACTTACCTCTGTTCCTAAACGCTAAAACACACATAAAACACAAAGGAGCTCTGATCAACTATCACATCCAAATTTTGACAGTTTTGCTGTACTGTTTTCTGTGGACGCCCCCACTAAATGGAAGCGTGGGATAAACTGAGCCTGGTTTGTTCTCAGTCTTTTAAATAGCCACAGACTACTAGCATTTGATCACAAGGCAAGGAGGCATTGAGAAATGTTTCCCTTTTTGCATTTGAGCATCCAAGAAAAAACAGGAAAGGAGAAAGAGAAAGAGGGAAAGACAAACAAAATTAAAGAAAGAGGTGAAGGAAGAAGGAAAGGAGAATGAAGAGGGAAGGAAAAGGAAGGAAGGAAGAGTATAATGAGAGGGAGGAAGGGCCTGAGGGAAGTCCTGCCTTAGCACTTGGCCATGAGCAGCCCTGCTGCCCTTTCGCCATCCTCTTGTCCCCTCCTCCTGACCTCTTCTGGTAGTCTCCCATCCTATTGCTGAGGATGCTTTGGTTACAAAGCTGGGTCTCCTTGCAGGGAGGGGAAGTGGGCCTCCCTCTGACCCACACATTTTGCCCTCCCGCACATACTATGAGCAATCTGGCCAAGGACAGTAAGCCAATCAGCAGCAGCCTTAAGGAGGAGGTAAGTGCAGCTTGCCACCCCCTTGAGAAAGGCTGAACTGGGCGCTTGCCCTCCACTGCCCAGGGCTCCGGGCAGCTTGCATCACTGGGAGTGCTCTGCGTGGCCTGAGAGGGACAGCAAGGCTCCTCTGGTGGGCAAGGGTATAGTATTCATCCTGGTCTCACCTTCCTCAGCTGGAGACAATGGATACCCTCCCAGCCTCGCCCAGGCTACCACAGGCACCCCCAACATGAGCGACGTTAAGCTGGCCACTCCCACCCTGGCCACACCCACCCCAGCCCCCCAAGGTTAACCACAACCCTGATCCAGCCTCAATGAAATCAAGTTTGATACCCCTGGTCTAGAGGTTTACTTCTCTAGCTGGATAAGTTTTTATTTAATTAAGAGGGAAAATATTGCAACTGTGATTGTTTACCTGGTGAAGAATAGCTTTCTATTTTATTTTTCAAAATTTCAAGACCAGCCAGTAGCCAGGCTAGCCAGCATACTTGAGTTTTTTGTTAAAATGTTATTGAGGAATGATAAAATATACACTCTCTCCAGACTTTTGTTCGTTTGTTTTGTTATTCTAAGTGTATGGGGCAGAGAGGCAAGCAAGAAATTATCAAAGCAGTGCCCTTACCAGCAAGCATACTAAGCTTCTCAACTAACTCTTTAA